AAGACTCTTAAACTTCTTTTACATTAGAAATTGTTTGTTGGATTTCAGACTGTGCTATCAACAATGGGATTGATTGTTACAGCATTGTTCTTTTTAAATGATAGTTACAAGAATGTGAAATCTTTGGGATACATAATTACAATTGGAACTGTAATTATGTTGCTTGAATGGCATTTAATTATGGGACCAAAATGCATTATCAGAATTATTGAGTATATTTTTATGGATTTTAAAAGAGTAAGTAGTTTTTTTAATGTATTACAAACCTATATATTATCTTTTTTTTGACTGCCTTGCTGGTCTATTGGTTGTCAGTGTGACTGCAAATCATGTGATCTATGGTCCAAATTCCAGATTGAGTCAAAATCAGTTATTAGTGGGATTTTCTGTCTGAAAATTCTCAGTAGCAGCTCTGTATTAGGAACTTGATGGTGTTACACCCCATGCCTGCCTCGGAAAGCACATAAAACCTTTTGGTTCTAATATAAAAACATGGGAATACTAGAGTGAGGGAATAGAGTGCTATGGTGCTTGCATACACACTTATACATTTGATGTGTTACTTCTTAACTATATATTACATACATATACATATACACTCACGCCTGTCACCCAGAGGGGTAGGCAGAGACTACGGACTTCCATTTGGCGCGATCCTGACACACCTCTCTCGCCTCTTTTACATCCATATATCTACGCATACACGCTCTTCGGTTAAGGGTACTCCTAATCTGGCCCATTTTTAATGTATCGCCGATTTGGTCGATAAACCTTCGTCTAGGGCGTCCCTTCCCGACCCTGCCGTTCACTTCTGCTACATAAATTTGCTTTGTCACTCTTTCCTCGTTCATTCTTTCTACGTGACCAAACCACCGAAGCATTCCTTTCTTAATCCTTGTCACAACGTCATCTTGCAAACCACACTTTTGTCTTATTACACTATTTCTCACCCTGTCATTCAGATTCAGCCCTAGCATACTCCTTAAGGAACGCATTTCTACAGCATTTATTCTACTCTCATGCTTCTTCTGCCAGACCCAACTTTCACTGCCATACATTAAAGTGGGTACTAACACAGCATTATGAATTGCCATACGTGCCTTAGTTGACACATTCTGACTCCTCACAATAGCGTGTAGAGCCCCATTCACTCTATTTCCTGCGTTCACTCGTCGTTCTATATCCTTATCATATCTACCATCCCTGCTAAATAAACATCCCAAATATACAAACTCATCCACTTGCTCAATCAACTCCCCTTCTATTCTTATTTCACATAAAGTTTTACTTTCTTCTCTTTCAAAAACCATCACTTTCGTCTTACTTGCGTTCACTTTCATACCCCTTTCTTTCAATGACCAATTCATTAAAGTAACCATCATTTGCAACTCGGCCGCCGACGATGCAAATATGACTTGATCATCGGCGTACAAAAGGCATTTGACGGTTGACTCACCCATTCTCAACCCACATTCTTCAACTTTCAAAGTTTGCAAACAACTGTCCATAAATAGGTTAAACAGCCACGGGGAAGCCACACATCCCTGTCTGACACCTTTATGAATGCCAAACCAGTCCGAGTAGATCCCGTTGATCCTGACACAAGCACTAGAGTCCCTATAAAGAGACCTTAATGCCTGTATCAAGCCAGCGCTCAACCCAAATGAGTTCAGTGTTTGCCATAACACGTTCCTGTCCACTCTGTCATAAGCCTTTTCCAAGTCCAAGAACGCACAAAAAACTTTCTGGTTTTTAGCCAAAAACTTCTCCGCTATCATGCGCATGGAAAAGACTTGATCCGTACACCCCATCCCCTTTCTAAATCCAGCTTGCACATCCCAAATTTTTCCATCAGTTTCTTCCATAACTCTTTCAATTAACACCTTAGCATACAGTTTACCCACAATGCTAAGCAAGCTGATACCACGGTAGTTTTTACAGTCCTGCTGCGACCCCTTTCCCTTATATATTGGGACTATAACGGCTTTGCACCAGTCTTCCGGTACCCGTTTCAGTTCCCAACATAAATTAAACAAGGTGTGCAGCAGGCCTGCAACCACACCCTCACCAGCCCTTAGCATTTCGAGTGATACTCTATCATATCCGGCTGCCTTACCTGCTTTCATGCTTTTCATTGCTTTCATTATTTCATCTACACTTATCTCCCTACCTCTCTCCACTTCTTCCGGAATTTCTATTTCACTTATTTCAGACGACTCTTCACTCTTAAACACGCTTTCAAAGTATTCCTTCCATCTCTTCAAATTCGAAACTTCATCATTCAGCATGCAGCCATTCTCGTCTCGTATAGCATTCATTCTAGGCTGTTTTGAATTTCCCCTGGCAGTTCTTACGAGCTTCCAGAACATTTTAATATTTTCCTGGAAGTTATCAGATATCCTTCTATCATTCTTATCTATCCTTTCTTGCTTTTTCCTTTCAACAACTTCTTTTACTCTCTTATTTATACGTCTAAAGTTTGCCTTTTTTCTTTCAATCTCATCATTCATACCGCCAGAATTACCAGCTTTAGTTGCTAGTAAATCTAGCCATGCTCTCTTCTTTGCTTCAACTTCCATCCGTATCTCATCATCCCACCACAACGTATTACTTTTCCTTTCATTCGTTCTCTTACTTACACCGCATACTTCGGTGGCTGCATCCACCAAAACTTTCTTAATATTATTCCATACATTCTTCAAATCTAAATCATTCATACATAATTCATTCAACCCACTTATATTTTGCCTCAGTCTGCATTTATACTTCTCTTTCACACCTTCATCTTGTAACCTCTCTATTCTTATACGCTGTAACGCAGTGGTAGACACCGATGTCCGATGCCGCCAACGTCTGAATAGACCATTAATTCGGCATAAGACCAAGTAATGATCCGTCCCTACGTTGGACCCCCGGTAAACCCTTGTATCTACCACTGCGCTCCTCATTCTTTCATCCACAATTATAAAATCTATCATGCTTCTATCATCCCCTCTTACTTACTTCTTAACTACTTAAAACAAAAATCTGTATAACCAACTAACTTGTTACTCTGTAAAATTGGCTTCCCCAAGCTATGTGCTATTTAATAGGCTGATATAGTCTTTTTAATCTTTTGCAGTTTTTTTTTATTTATAAATAATTAAAAATTAAATTGTTCTCAATTTTCCTTGCAACTTTTTCCTTGATGGCTTCACTTAGTTTACCTATTATTGAAGCTTAGTAGATATAATTTTAGTGCTACCACAGAATAAATAATAGTTAAAAGAACAGAAGGCTCACTCTCTGATAGCAAACTTGCGAGTTTAAACTTAGTTACAACGTCGCTAATGTTCATAATACGTTGCACGCCTCGGATGTGAGCTTCGTGAAATTAGCCTACAATTTATTATGTCGAAATAAAAAAAATTGTGGCACGCATATTAAATCAAAATGCACGTTAGCTCCGCGTGCGAGTGTCTGTATCACTTAGCCCGTTACGCGCCTTTGTTAAGACCGCTTCTACTGTAGGGTTAGGTGTTGTGAGAAAACAAATTGAATCTTTTGATATAAAGTTGGTATATAGTAGAATACACCGAGGTATTATGCAATGTATTAGTATTTCTTTTTTTTATTTTGTTAGAAAAAGCATTACTCCCACACTAGGACTTTCTTCTGTATCGTGGAGGCAGTTAACAAATATAAATTGCACAAGGACAAACATCTACACCCGGAACAATTATTTGTAGGTCATACAAATGCTTGTTCCGTATGGGATTCAAACCCGCGGTCCCAGTATTGCAACTCATTGCTGAGCCACTGCGCCACGGATCCATCAATTTGCTGATAATACTCGTAAAAACTTTATTGTTTAATGTGACGAAGGTTAATATGTAACATCGAGGAAAATTAAGATTATAACAACGTGAATGTCTTTGAAACTTACTAATTATTTACATAATAATTTACCTACTTACCATTTTTAACCGACTTCAAAAAAGGAGGAGGCACTCAATTCAACTGTTTTTTTGTGTGTTACCTCAAATTTTTTTTCTAAGTAAATTGATTTTGATGATTCTATTTTTATTTGAAAGCTGGAACTTATAATTTATACATCCCATATAAATTTGATCAAGATCTGACAGTAGTGGAGTTAACCTAAAAATGCATATTAGTATTGAAATCGGTGGTACAAAATTTTTAATTTTATTAGTTGTATCTTCCTCTTTTTAAAAAAAACGTTACAACCAAACTAGGATTTTCTCCTGAATCGCAGGGACAGTTTACATACATAGAACAGACCCAGAACAATTATTTGTAGGCCATACACATGGACGTATAAAAAAGGCTTATTTATACGTCCATGGCCATACAAATACTTGTTCTGTCCGGGATTCGAACCCGCGGCCCTTAGCGCTGCAACTCATATCTAAGCCACTGTGGCACGGAGCCGTCACTTGTCTGTTTCACATTTTTTGCTATTTACAAACATGCGACACGTGACTTCATTATTAATGAAAGAGTGGCAATGAGAAGTGCTGCTACTTTCAATCATTAAGTAGTATATGCTAGAATCTTGCATTAGTAGGCAGTTACCAGTACTGGGAGATCTACTTACACTAAACGATATTTTAAGGTCATTGGCATTATACGCGAAAAAGTCGAAAACTGCGAAGCTGTCGTCGGGTCACTAATCAAATAATAAATCTGTAACTATGGTTTCAGTATAGTTACTGTACAGTACAGTACCTAATTATCTAGATCTACCTATAAATAATAACATATTAACTTTCGGTACTATCCTTAGGAACAGTAAACAATGAAAAGACGACATTCCTATTGTTATTTAAGCTATGCAGTACCTTTTTGCTTTTTGAGAGGCCACACTTGAACAAAAACTCAGAAAAAAATATAAAAATTGCCTAAATACTTATTAGGGAAAAATAATTTTTATGTTAACGTAAGGTGCGCGTCAGCTCCAGCGGGCGCGTGACAACCTCACAGAATTCGCCCCGCATGCGGGGTCGTGAGACAGCATGATGATTCTGATGACGAAAGCTCAAGCGAAGATGAAATTGATGATGAAGTATTATCCACTAACACCAACACACCATCGACATCTGGCTTCCATGTGACCCAAGACGATATAATGGATGGCGTGTCACCCTTAGCTTAAGTTTTCTTGTTACAAACTACTTTATATTTTACGACAGAAATAAAAAATAATGCTCAAGTAAACATTATCTATTTTTAATTTCAACCACTTCCAAAGTTCTAAGTAGCTAGTAAAGTGCTTATTATGATTCTACAATAAAACGTTTAATTACTATTATATTATTAAACAATAGCCTAGTACCATGTAGTACTTTAGAACGCGACTGCACCCATGCGCAGACACACTCCCTCCACTGTCGCTCAACGTTTCTTTTACGTTAAGGTACCTGTATCTTGCTCGGTGCGAAACAATGCCTACTCACTCTATCCTTACCTTTCACACACGCGCTACCGCCGCCCGACCAGCTCGTGTCACCTCGCGCTGTGGAATTTACACATGTCAGCTTTGCGAACATGTTGGGAATTCCCAAAATTGCAGGGAATTTAAAGTTGGTTGGAGATTGGTATTATGCGGGGAAAATACGGGGATTTTGGAAATCCAGGGCCAAATCAGAACCTTTTTTTTCAAGAAATCTAAATACTTATCTTAACATTTTGTTAGCTTACTTATGATAATCGAATGACTCCCTTTTTTTAATTATCTTTATTGCACCACATTTAATTTTCGGATTTATTTCGGCAACTTTGTTGTATCATTTAATGCTTTTCATTTCTTTATTTTTTAATTTTAAAGTAAAAAAATGTTAGTAAAAAGTAAATCTTATAAAATTAATTTAAAATTGATTCATTTCTTTAAAAAAAAAAATGAGGGGAATTTGTGGGGGATCTGTTGAAGTTTTGTTCTTAAATTGGAGAATTTAATATGAATTTTTAGGGCTTTTGACAAATTGGTGTTGGCAACGCTGCCATGTTGCACTGAAATTTAGTTTGCCTGCGACAAGAATTAGAGGCGGCAAACACTATAAAACTTGCAAGTAATTTTTAATAATGCACCTCTTTTTAAATGCAAAGTATTGATCGGTTTAAATACGGAAAGTCAATTAAAATAAAGTAAAAGTATTATTTTTTACATTAATTCTGATAGATTAAATAACTGTCGATCATAATTGCAATTTCTATTTTCTTATACAAAATCAAAGCTAACGATGAAATAGTGTTTATAATTGTGTAAGTGAGTACTGAGTACCCAATTAGGTACGCGTATTAATTTCGATATAACTTTTGTAGTAAAGAACTGCTTCTTGCGTCAGGGTACAATTGATTGTGTAATTGTATTAAAAATGATAACCATAACTTCTAAATTTCATATGAAGACTAATCGTAGGGATAACTAAACTTATAAATAAAATAAACGTTGGCAATGTCGTAACGGTTTAATGGTCTGTGGGATTGATCAGTGCTTCAAGGACGTTACGGCGCACGAGGCACTTGTTTACTTGTTTTGGCGGGATTGATTATTAATTTTAATTTTTGAGACAGTTCCGTGTTGACTATCACGTGCGCGTGAGCGACAGTTTAATCGTTTTGTTTATTACATTCTTGTTGTTATGTTTTATGTTTCTCGTTTTGTTTTGATAATGCCTAACGCGTAGGTACGTTTATAGTGCTCATGAATACGGCAACATGTTAATGTGCCTTGGAGAATGTCATAAGGCCACGGAGGATTTAGATCGGTAAGCTGTTTCATACCTATTTTTTTAAATAACTTAGTACGTAACTTGTCTGAATAGGTACATAATTGAATACATCAGAATAATAAACATACCTACACGATGGATAAAAAAGCAAGACTAACCTTGTTAACATTTCGTTTAAGAATTTTTTCGAATCGAACCAGGTATTCGATTTATTTAACCTGTGAATAAAGTGGCTAGGTGGAGACAAGCACAGTGACAAAATAGTAGGTTAAGTAGATAAGTTAGGTATTTAAACAAGTGTTGTAAATTGTTAGGTATTGTGGTACCATCGCTAGCTGCGGGTAGCACGAATTTGGCATCCGGGCGTACATTGATCCCTAATCAGCTGATTGTAATACCACTGCTGGTTTTATGTTTCAGTATTTTCATGATCTTTTTTTATGAAATTATCGTTTCATTTAGCTGTACTAACATGATGGACTGTGAATAAAGTTAATAAAACGTTGTGAAAAGATAATTTTTTTCCTTGGGACCGAGTTTATTTGTTACCCATCATCAAATGTATCCTTAGTACTATCGTCTGTTTTCGTTTTCGGGAGCGTTTCACAAACACCCGGTATGATTTACTTAGACTTGGTTGTTAAATCCCTCATAAAATCCACTCCAAAAGTGGGTGCTTAAATATCAACTTTGTCTTGCTTTTGACATTGTGGGGTTTTTGGCTTGGGTGGGTGAGGTTAAAATTTTAAAATTATCAAATTTTATATATTTGTTAATTTACTTACATGCCAAGATGATTGTCTCAGTTGTTCAAAAAATAGTTGATATTATTTGAAATCTTGTGCTTCTCATGTAGTCCCATATAAATTTGATCAAGATCTGACCAGTAAGTTTTTGAGTTATCCTTAATAGTGCATATTTAATTGACTTGGACTACATGCATGATGTTCTCATTTTACTTATATTGTAGTCGATTGTATAAATTTTTTAATTTTGCCACTTGTTATCATAGTAGTAATAAATATTTTCGATATGGAGAATGACCAAAAGCTGGGTACAATTCAAGATGATTGTGTGACTGTGAAAATAATTGTGCCGCTTGCAGAACTGGTTTTATAGGTACTCATTGATACAAGTCCAAAGTGAATAGGCCGATGTGACATAAAAATATTTGTTTTAGCAGTTCATGTCAGCAGGCTCAGTTTTTCTAACTACGGCAGTTTAGGGCAAGTTACCTTAAATAAATTCCCTACCCATGTTAAATACATTTTGTCTCATGTCTTCCATAATAATATTTAACAACATACTGATCTCTATAAATGAAGTTCACTTTATAGTGTATTGTATTCATTTGTATAATATTGTAATGATACAAGCACATAGTGAATAGGCAGATGTGACGTAAAAATATTGGTCTTAGGTAGCACTTTATGTCAGCAGGCTCAGTTGTTCTAACTACGGCAGCTTAGGGATCATGATAATGTAGGTAATATTTCTCTCGCTGCCGCCTTGCCAAATAAAACATCTTATCGAGTGTGCATAATCGAAATGCTTAATGTGTTCCTCTCATTATTTACGTACATGTCCCCAATTCGTACAAATGCCGCCTAAAGAACGATCACTACACGTGCGATCGATAACTTACTACCGTTTTGCCTACTATTACAATTACTAAAATATGACGAAGTATAGTGCTATATCTAAAATAGTAAATTGGTTCAATGTTAATAATTTGTATTTAAATGGTACTAAAACGAAATGTATGAAATTCATGACTCCAAATGTCAAACAATTAACTACTAATGTAATTTTAAATGGGAAGAAACTGAATCTTGTAGATACCACTATTTTTCTTGGAATCAATCTAGACGCGAAGTTTCAATGGAGTCCCCATATATCAAAACTAGCAAGCAGACTTAGTTCTGCAGCATATGCTGTAAAAAAGATTAGAAGTCTAACCAGTGTTGAAACAGCTAGACTAGTTTACTTCAGCTATTTCCATAGCATAATGTCGTATGGTATTTTGCTATGGGGACACGCAGCTGACACTGAAATTATATTTGTCTTACAGAAGAGGGCCATAAGAGCAATTTATGATTTAAAGCCTAAAGAGTCGCTGCGACAAAAATTTAAGAAAATTGATATATTAACTTTAGCCTCTCAATACATTTATGAAAATGTAATGTACGTACACAAAAATAAAAGTAGTTTTACAAAAATAAGTGATATTCATTCTGTAAATACTAGGAACAGACACAAGCTAGTAGTACCAGTTACTCGACTCCATCAAGTCAGTAATTCATTCTTGGGGCGATGTATACGCTTTTACAACAAAATTCCAGAAAATATACAAAGTTTGACCTGCTCAAAGTTCAAAAACTTTATTAAACTAAGTTTGTATAAAAAGGGTTATTATAATATTAAGGAATTTATAGATGATAATAACCCCTGGAAATGAGGTGATCGCTACCAAGCTATTTCTAATTTGTTGTGTTGTTAATTTGTGTAACATCATGATTGTAAGCTGTTATTTAAAAAAAAAAGTCCCGCTGGGTTTCTTGCTGGTTCTTCCCAGGACAGATATTTTTTCCGAACCAGTGGTAATCAAACAAAAGAGTGACTTTCAATAAGTATTATTTATAATCTATATTGTATAAAAAAGTTTCTGTTTCTGTTTCCTTTGCAATTCCTAAATATTATTTCCTTCACTTTCACATCTATAACAACATTCAATAACCTGTAATGTCGGAAGGTATTAAATGAAAAGGAGACGTGTTGCTCAGTTCAAGACTTTAATTATACTGCTTTTAACAACTACAACTACAATGAACATTAATTATAAGTCGTGTGCTCGTGTGGGCTACTCTACACTATAAACCTAAACAACACCTTTAAATGTTATAAACATTTTAGAAATTTCTTGAGAGACTGTTTTATTGATATAAAATTTCCGTTTCAGGTCAAATTGCTGACCATTTGGCTCTCAATGGTTATCGTAGCCATATTTATAATATTTATACAAACAAAGATGTCGACAAAGGCCAGCACAGTGACACGAAAAACATTCCATGTTTTGGCTTCTTTAGTTTTTCTCAGTGGAATCCTGACAGATATTCCTCTGATGACTTTAGCCGCAGGCATTGGACTTGCACTTTTGATATTTACTGAGGTATAAGTAAACAAATTTTTATTTCTGTAACATGCTATTTGATATAATTTTTTAAAAGTTTTAACTGCATGTGGTGGTTACTTCACCAATCGTCGAAATCGCTATTCTTGCATCCCGAATGTGTATGAGTCGATTATGAATAATATAATAGAGTATCAGAGTAATTTTTTTTATTGAATATTAATATATAGTACTTATTGAGAACGTCTAATACTTATTGAATTGACCGTGTACCTAGTGGAAGTTTAAGAATATCCAGTATCTCTTATTATTCCGTGGGTGTGCGTCTCGCTAATAACAGCTAAAAAAACTGCGATTACCAATCTGCATACTATGCAACTATAGCAAATATTCCATCACTGCTGAACATAGCTCTCCCAAGAAAAGCAACAAAGACGGTCTTGAGCCACCTGCATCCATCTACTTCCTGCATCACTTAATAACTATTACTACTCCGCCCCCGTCACTTCCCTTGTCGTTGCGAGGCTGCCTTTCAATAAAATATCTTACGGTATTTCTACGTCCTAATCTACCCACGCTTAATATAACACAAGATCACAACTAGGTTAGGATGTCACAACACGAACCGAAAATTTAGTGGTCGATTGGGTACGAGAAGTGGTTACTGTTACAGCCTACCAAAAGTCCACTGCTGAACACCCCCATAAATTGCCTTATAAGGGGAATATTTGCCATAGTTGCCACGTTTGGCAGACGGGTTGGCAACGGCAGTTTATTTTATTGTTAGTTGTTAATTGGAAGACGCTGCTTTCCATCTCCTGGCTTGTTTCCCTCTCTCGCCTCTTGCGACATCCACTATTCGATATGTAGTAATGGACTACATGGTCACGAGCAGCGGTTACGGCAAAGCAAATCATCTCGACTTACGTGTTGTAGGTTAATGTTGATTGCTTTATGCTCATTAGCAATATTATTAGTCATACTGATTTCATCGACGGTAAAACATTATATTAAAATAAATATTTTAGGCCCTGAGGATATGCGGAATCGAACCGATTTCGTCAGCGCTTCATTCGGCTTTCGTTGTTTATAGTGATGAAAAGGTAAGAAGTATTAGGTTTCTTCTTCCTTTCCTATAGAATTACTGTTTAATTACTGCGGAGGTGTAGTTAGGGCATAAGATAATACACCTTTTTTACGTGGTAGAGTCATGTTGCAGCTATATTAGTAGTAAAGTTGTAGCACGAATGGGTCGGCTAGATCGGAGGAGGACCGCGCTCTCACACAATACCAGCGCAAAATAGCAGCTTATCGCTGCTGTGTTTCGTATGGTGAGTGCAGAGAACTGGATACCTTTTCAACCGACTTCAAACAGGAGGAGGTACTCAATTCGACAGTATGTTTTTTTATGTGTATTACCTCATAACTTTTCTGGGTTAACCGATTTCGATGATTCTTTCTTATTCGAAAGCTGGTGCTTCACATGTGGTCCCATATGAATTTGATCAAGGTCTGGCCAATAGTTTTTGAGTTATTCTTAATAATTTTATTGAAGTCGGTTGTACAAAATTTTAAATTATTTACTGGAAACTCCATCTTAGTCCTCACGGGTGACGGCGCATCTGCATTTTGATTCGTAATCGAGGATAGATGTAGTTGTCTATGTGCCACAGCAACCAATTACCATCAGGTGGAATGTATGCTTGCTTGTCAACCTTATCCTATAAAAAAACCTTGCTTTATCTGGGTGGCGTAAGAAATGCTAAAGAATTCTTATGGCCTCCGATTTTTCACTAACAACGTGGAGCAGCGTCAAGGTGCAACATATTTAGTGCTGCAATCGCCAGTCCGCCTGCCAAGCGTGGCGATTATGTAACCTCCATTCTACAATAGAGGCCCGTGTCCAGCCGTGGGCTGTTAAAATAATAATAATAGTAGTTGTAATATAGCTATCACTTTGTTTTTAAAAGCCGTCATTTATTGATTTTCCCATAGCGTTTTTTGAATATTTTAATGACACCGCTTAAATCTAACTGGCCTTAAATCTTAAATCTAACTGTCGTATGACAGGATAGCGGTGTGCTTGCAATGACGCCGTTATACCTGTTCACTGGGCTGGCTTGTCCACTAATACTGGCGCCATCAGAGGCCCAGCTGGACATGCTGGCGGGCGTTTTGGCGGTTGGCGTTGGTGATACAGCTGCTAGCTGCATTGGTTCGACTTTCGGAAGGACGCACTGGGCTGGTAATGTTATTAGTATTGATGATCTAATTTGACTCATCACCTTGTAGTGGCGGTGTGAGGATATCTGATACCTCATATCGTCCCTTGAATGTCGTAAGAGACGACAGAGGTAAACGCAAACAGAAGATGGGCAGCAGCCTTCGATCACTAATAAAAAAAACTAAATACACAATCAGTGACAAAAAATGTCCTTACCGAAAGAGCGCCAACTCGAACATTTGGGTGCGCTTTTAGTTGCTACCCTATATAGTATATTAGCTATGTTAGTCGCCGTCGTGAGTGGACATTGTTTCGGTTGTTTGCAGCGGTAAGATCGCTGTACAAATACACAATATTCGAATATCCAAATTTCTTAAATACTTGATTATAATAATAATAAGAGATTTTTTTATTACAATATTTTAAAAGCACAGAATAAATAATAGTAGTACGTACTAAAAGTAAGTAGTATCAATTTTTTTGTCATGGGTGACATTTTCATGGTTTTCGAGAGAGTTGAAGACGATAGGGTTGTCGAAAAGTAATTCCAAGATGGCGGCTGCAATAGATATCAATTTTTTCATCATGGGTGTCATTTTCATGGTTTTCGAGGGTGCTGAAGCCGATAGTGCTGTCGAAATGTAAACACAAGGTGGCGGCTGCAATAGGTATAAATTTTTTCATCATGGGTGTCATTTTCATGGTTTTCGAGAGAGTTGAAGACGATAGGGTTGTCGAAAAGTAATTCCAAGATGGCGGCTGCAATAGATATCAATTTTTTCATCATGGGTGTCATTTTCATGGTTTTCGAGGGTGTTGAAGCCGATAGTGCTGTCGAAATGTAAATCCAAGATAGCGGCTGCAATAGGTATACATTTTTTCATCATGGGTGTCATTTTCATGGGTTTCGAGGGTGTTGAAGCCGATAGTGCTGTCGAAATGTAAATCCAAGATGGCGGCTGAAGTAGGTACCAATCTTTTCATCATGGGTGTCGTTTTCATGAATTCCAAAGAAAAAAAAAGAAATGAATATGTGCATTTCTTTTTTTTATATAATACTAACATTTAAAATTACACAATAATTGTATCCCTAAGTATTCTAATTTATAAAATGTAAACATGGGTAAAGCATAGTTAAAATAATATTTAGATTAAAATGATTACAATTGGTATTATAGTACTTAGTAATTAATATTAAGGTAAAATAATATTAATTAACAAAGCTTAATACACTAATTTCTTATAATTATAATCGATTAAGTAAACAATGTCTGAAATATATTACTTAATTACTATAATATTATTGCAATATAATACCGAAAAAAAAATATATAAAAATAACATAATTTTTTTTATATAGTAAAAGTCAATGTTTAATAAAGTCTTATATTATAATTATGTATATATAATAATTGTCTTGGCTTGGGTAGGGTGGCTGGCCAAACCCCCTATGTACATAATAATTCCGTAGTCACATTATGTATGTTTAAGGCTTAATGCATTGTTGCATTGTTGATGCATTATGTTTGACAAAATCAGGTGTACATTCGCGAACGTATATTATTTTGGTCGACACATCACTGTAACACACTTTGATACTGAGCTATTCAGTTACTTATTAAGTCATTTATGTAGACATTCACATTAAATAGTACCCTTCCTTTATATATTTATTCACATTTATACTTATAATTTTATAGTTATATATTTCATTTATTTATACCTTTATATTTAATGAAACATATCTTTCATGATCCATACAAATTATTTAAATATTAATACTTTACTTTTTTTTTTCAAAAAATAATGCAATGTTAATAAAATGTTATTAACATTAGAAAAGAAAAGTTTTTTAAGTATATGATCATATAATTTTGGGGTCATTGTAGATAATTTAAAAAAAATTATAATAAATAGCAAATTAATACACTTTGGATTACCGAATTTTAGTTTATAACTGTACAAATTTTACATAAATAATCATTTTTTTTTTTGTAAAACTAATGGTTATTATAAATATAAATCAATATAAATATGAAAAAATCTTGTAAATTCATATAAAATATGGTAAAATAATTAAGTATGTACGTGAGAATGTGTTTATTATTTTTGATTAATATTTTTTGTTTACGTGTGGTTATGTGGATCGATAATATAGTTCCTCGGTACATGTGTAACTTGTGAGTAGGATTTTGGGTAGCTCTAATACAGAAATGCAAAGTAACTACATATCTCACTTTTAGGTTTGGTCGGGGATCCCCTTATTACCACATTTTAATTATTCTCATGTCCTTGCATGTTAGTTCTTTTCATGTTAATACTAATCTCATTTCCTTTGTTTTCGGTTGCCAGGCCTTAATTATTTAATTCATAATTCTTGTACGTACTTTCTTTTCTTTCTTAATATTTTTGACCTTTAGCTAGCTTTATTTCTTTGAGTATTCTCTTCCCTTATATATTTATTTATTAATTAGATACCGGGAATCGGAGTATTAATTCACTTCATTTATTTCGTGATATTTATCACGCGGGTACTTTATAAATATGGGCCCCCCATTTACTTGGGTATTATATTTTCATTACATTCATTTTATTTTACTGGTACATAAACTTTTGTTTCATCATACTATATCAAGGTAATACTGTACCTTGGGTTGTGCGCACAACCTTGAGGTCTACGTTTAAGTCATTTTAAAAGGACTCCAACAATTGTCACGGAGGAAAACTAAGTTCACACTATGATCCAATGAAGGATGTGACCTCTATGTACCATTATTAAGGGTAACAAATTTAAGACTTCTCTGGTCCCCAACAGTACTAATATGAGTAAACTCGTTCACATCTCATTTGTACTGAAGGTATTGTTCCCTAGTACCCGTTACTTCCGATTTTATCATCTAATCATGGAAACATACCCTGCTCGAGGAATATATGCTATACCAGTGATGGACGTTCCCGTATCTCTCCATTATTTGTTCGTCAAGGTTAACGTGTTTTTTTTTTCTTTACATTTATAGTATTTTATTAATCATTATTTAATTGTACCATAATATACTTTCAGATACATGGCTCGCGTACATACATACATGATAAGGAATATGGACACTATTCCTATACAATACATAATATATTTTCATTGCGTCATTAAAATCATTACGTCGTTAATCGTATACGAACAACCTTAAAAAAATTACTCGGTTATTAGGTTTACCAAACTCTCAGCTGATCAGGCCGATTGTATGTGGATATGCTAATCTCCGATAATTTTCTTTACTTGCCTTACTCTCACAACTACAATCTATTAATATTTTTCATTTATAATTCCGTATTTCTTAGTTATATTATATTAGCCTTTAATATAGTAGCCATAAATTAACTCACGTCTTTACAAATTTATTAAATGAGTCTCTTATATGGTATCTTGTAGTATTTAGGTACATCATTTTCAGTTAGGGAATGAGGCTCACAATGATCACAACAAAATTTAAATAAATGAATTGAAGAAATTATTTTCTCATGTATACAAATAAGTTAAATAATCCAAACTTTATCATTTTCCCAGGAAATAATGAATTATAAAAATTAAAAGTTTATGATTTAAAAGTTCAATAAATATAAAATCGAAGTTAAAAAATTATTGCATTTCATATTCAAATTAAACAAAGAAATAATAATGGGAACATAAGTCGTCATCACTATAACGGCTACCAAGTTTATATAAACAAAACATTAATTTATTTAAACATTGAGAAGAACAATTTTCATTTTTAAGTAGGTTATATTAAATTTAAGGTTATTTATTAAAGAATATATATTTATTTATTTATAACTTTAAAATTGTTTCAAGGTTTTCATACCATTAGAAAAGAAGAAAAATAATTATGACTTTTATTAATAGCGATTTTTTTAAATCCTTCAAAATTATATACATTTAAATAAAAATTACTACAGAAATAAATTTGGGTTAGATTTAAAATATATTTGCTTTAATCCGAACCAGGTCATCGTAAGCTGTAGCTTAATATATTGTTGTTTTTTTTTTGAATATAGTAGAAATATTATAAAATGTGACAAATATTTTCAAGTTACTTGTAAATAACGTAAATGTAACATTAAATGCATTATGTGCTTTTTTATTTTATATAGTCTACAACATAATAAAAAATATGGTGTTGAATGTGTAGAATTAGATTGTTGAATGAATTGTATAATTTTATATTAAAAGACTACAGAAAAAAAACAACGAAATGTATCACATTGTTATTTTAACAATAAATTTGGTAAAATTAAGTACGTAAAATTTTTATCTTTCATATTATTTAATAACTTTTTGCAAATTAATTACTGAATAAAAGGGAATATAAAATCGTCTAGTGCCTTAATACAAATGCCACTGAAGCACTTACGCAATCTAAATTTATAATTATTGTAATATGATTTTTTAAAACAATAATAAAATAAGAAATAAATCGTTAATATAAAATATCTAATAATTAATTTCAACTTAAGCATATATGAAATACAGAATATTTAGTACATAACTTTTTTTTTTTTTTATAATAGTTAAAACTTTTTAAAGAAATCTTATAGAGAAATGACAAAAAATAGGCTGGTGCGATGTTACCTCAATTTTTCTTCTTGTAAACTCACTGATGCAGTTTAATAACTCTTAATTTCTTCTTTGTTCTTTTTTGACTCAATTTTCACATTCTTCTGGTTCTGGACGTAGCTCGTCAAGATTACTATAACCGCTTCTTTTCTTTTTAAATTAATCTGCCGTGTCTTGAATAATTTTGGTATTTGGTCATGATATAAAAAATCCACTATTTGTTTTCCTCCTTCCTCGTTACTCGTCTTCATTGTACTATATATTATATATTTTAAATTTTCAGTCACTTTCAATAAAATAATTATTGTGGCCTCTTCTTGTATTCATATTTGTTTATTTTTCGTCACATCCGGTATTGCGTCCATTCCGTTTTAATATATTTTTTTTTTAAATTGTCAATCTTCTTAAAAAT